ACGGAGGCCACCTCCACCTTTGAAATACAATCTAGTGAGGCAACACCACTGACATCACAGTTCTGTTCTGTCATGTTCTACTGTCGCACAGAGGGGAGCTTCATGTACTCAAGCACTAAAAAAATACTTTTTTTGTTTTTTTTAAGTACATCCACTTACAATGTTTGGACAACAGGGAAAACCTGAAACGGGAGAAAGCAGCACTGCTGTGTGCAGATGAATGATGCCCAAAGCACCTTCAGTAAAAGTTCTGGTCACGTATACCGACCTCCATAACAAACACGTTATTTCTAAATGCTCTACTTCTTTCCTCTTTAAACCCAATTACATCTTCACATTCCCCGTAGTCTTGTTTTCTTTCTCTGTGGTTTGATTTAAGCATCTGTAGCAACCGTAACTACTTTATTAGTTCCTGATTCATACAACTAAATTACACTATAAATCAAAGGCGGTATTATGTTCATAATGTTACCAAATTTATCAGCATTAACACACACAGACTCTCCTCTCACAGCCTGAACAAGGAAGCTCATGAATCCAGTAAACAATGAACTCATTCCACTCACACAGTCTCTCATCTCTCACACCTTGAATTAACAAGTTTACATAAAAATATCTCCCTTCTCGCCTCCTCTGTCACCCTCTCGCAGACATAATGCAATAGTGTAACCAATAATCCAGTCTTCATCCTGCCTCCCCTCCAGGGAACCAGAGGAATATGAGCTCCACAGAGCCGGAGCACGTGGGCGGCTGTGAAATTAGGATTTCCTTACAGCAGAGACGGGTTTTTTTTTTTGGGATGGTTTCCGCTGACACAATCAAAAAGTCATAATTGAGTTCTGTTCTGTGGTCACACTGACATGAGCCTCAGCTTTTACTCGTCTTTTTTCTTTTTACAAGATTTAAAGAGAAAAAAACAGAAAAAATATTCGGAGTTGTGATGCTAACCGGTACAGAGTGACTTTTAAACGTCTCCATGTATTTAAAGAAAAACCCAACGTGATTTTTCAACGCGACATGAGTTGTAGGATAAATTAAAACTCATATCGCACCACCCTTTCTGGACAAACTTGAGCTTTTTGTTTATTTTCCCCTTTTTAAGTTTTAGTTAGACGAGTTCCAGCTGCCATCGCTCACTTTTAAAAGCTAAGAAGCCGGAAAATCACATTCCACTCCTAAGATAAGGAGCTGCTATAATACAGACGCTGCCATGTTTGCTTCCATTATCATTTAAATTACATTTTCCTTCGGTGGATTGTTTTATTTGCTCATGTGGTTCTTTTGAGTTTCCTCACATCCTCTGAAGGTTTCAGACACAGAACACAGTGCGTCGATATAAAAAAGGCCGGTCTGCTGTGATTGCTCAGCTGCTTCGATCTACGAGTGCAGAGGCAGCTCGAGAGGCGAGGTTTGGCCCGGATGGAACGCAGCATTATTAGATGGACAGACGGACGGCGAGGGACACTCAACTGTCAAATCAGTGAACAAAGACGGAGACACTCCACACTTTGAGTGGGCTCAGAAACCAGACTCGGACAAAGTGATCGGGCCTCTGCAGACAACCTTGATCATCTTTATTTGCCCTCTGACTCATCAGCCTTAATGAGTCAGC